AAAACAGTCTGGCAGAAGACCGCCATGTTGATCCTGGTTCTGCCAGAGGTTTTCCTATGTTTTTCCTCTCCACTGTCGCTTCATGCTTGCTCATCATGGACAGGTTCATGCAACCTGTGTTATCCAAAACTATCCAGGTCCCTGAGTGAAGTTCTAGTATCAGCTCATGCAGTCCGCTGGATCTCCCCATAAAGCTCAGCAGACCGTCTCTCCAACCAGCAGTCTACAGACTGACCAACTTCATCTATCTCCACTCTTTCAGGCCTGGGGGGGAAACAGCCCTATTCTTTAATCCTGTTCATGCATAACAAACAACATTCAGTGCTATATTTTCTGTCAAGGTCTGAGCGCCAAAGACTAAAGTAACTATATCAATATATTTCTTCTAATTGTCTTTTATCTTCCTGTCAGTTTTTCAGATTTAATTAGTTTTGTTTCATTTAAACTAATTTTCTTTATTGCCTGTTGGTATTTAAAAAATAAAAACCATCAAAATAATTAGTTTCATCCAGACAATTAATTTCTTTGTGATTGCCCCAACTTGTTGTTCACCACAAACCAAAATAAATAGTTTTTCAAGATGATGCAAAGTTAAATTTAACACTGTTACAATTAGTTATAAAACTAAGAAAATGAAGTCTAAGGAAGTTATCATCCAGAATTATAGAAAAATGTTCCTTTAATAGGGTAGAGCAGCAAAGCTTCTGGCCTTAACATTTTTTCCTGCATTATTTTTACTTTTATACTTTAAGTAGTTTTAAAAATAGTATTTTTAAACTTTTACTTGAGTAAAAAGCTTAAGTTGATCCTCCAACTTCTACAAATGTGTTTTTAAACAGTAGAATTTATACTGGAGTAATAAACATTAATTCTTTGACAGCTCTTTACAAAACAGGGAAAAAGGAAAAATGCTGATAGCAGAAAAACTTAAATCATCGACACGTCACAGACCTACTAAAGAGCGTTAGGGCCATGCTAGAGATTTTAAATTTTTTTTATTTTGAGAATAAGGTCGTAACACGAGAATAAAGTTGTAATATTA